ATTTGTAATGACTTCTTGTTATCGCGGGGCTGCTTCATAGACATGGATGTGAAGGAGGACTCATTTCCTCAGCAATTTTACCCCTATCAGATTATCTCATCTGATTCTATTATTTCTTTCCCATAAATCTGCTAACAGTGATTTGTTATTTGTGGCCCTGTTAGCGGATCTGAAGCACTGTTAAAAGGATTTATCTAGCTTTGTAGTCTAAGAGCAGTTGATGTCTTCAGCTTTTGTCACTCGGGCGTTGGGAAATCAATTTGGTGGCTTTTCATACTTAAATTCAGTGGACACCACTCAGTTCTGCACCATAAAATAAGGCGCTGGATAAACAAAAGGTGCAGTAACTGTACTTAATGTGTTGGCCTTGATAGATGAGTTTGTTTAAGTCATAGCAAATGACACTCAAAGTCAATATAACTCACAAGACTTCTACTAGCCCCTTTAGCTTCCTTCTGCTTGTTTACTCAGCCAAGCAAGTCATGAAAATTTTTTAATTTTTTAATTTCTCACCGACAGTGGTGCTTCTCTGTACAAAATCCACTGACCGTGCTTATTGTACGGGATTATGTGCGTCTGCATGTGAGCATACATGTATTTTGGAGACTGTTCTGAACTGAAGCTTTCAAAAGCCCCGTGTTCTCCCAAAGGCCAAATGCTTGAAAAGTACAGAGCACATGAAAGGCAGTTGATTGAATCAGCACATCTCAAGTAAATGGAAACAAAAGCCCAAATTGGTGGGTGAGCAGGCTGAAGGAATTTAGCTGTTGGTGCTTTGGTGGTCTGGACACTTCTAACGGACATGAAAATGTGCAGTTGCTATTGAAGAAGTCCAGCCTTACCTGGAAATTGTTCAGATGCTCAGATTGTGAGCAGTTAAATACTACAGGAGGATCCTGCCAAAAGTGAGAGGAACAGAGTAAGGGGCGGGGAGGGGGGAGGAAGACTTCTGATTTTAAACCTCTATCCGTTTGTGCTACGTAACAGCCAATATTTGACAGCTCCCTCATCTGTAATAGGTTAATAAGACTAATACGCACCTCCAGTAATTTGTCTTAATCCTTTGGAGGTTTGAGCTCAGTCGTGTTTATAGCCCTCCGCTGCACTGCCATATCTCAGCACAGATTGTGCTAGCCAGATGTGGCTTTGCGTTCCCTGTTTTATCCTTCAGAGCTAACTGGGCTGAGAAAAGAGGAAAAAGTCCTCGTTTTGTACATGCAGCATACTTAAATGGGGAAGCATCTAAGTCAAAGGGACCCCTTCAAGTCTCCATCCCCCAAAATAACTTCTGCTATTTTAAAAGTAGTGGCACATCTCTCATTTGTCCTCACAATTTGAAAATGAAACCATTCCACTGTGCTAGGCTCAGAAGCGCAAGGAGGATGTACGAGACAGGCATGAGTGACTGTTTTATTCCTGTTGACACCCTCCCTATCATTGTACAATTCCTGTTGACACCCTCCCTATCATTGTAAATCAAACTGAGTGCATCATATTCACCTTTTCATAAATTCCATGTTTTGAATTTACTCTGGAAACCACCTTTTTTTGAGGGGGGGGGGTGTTTCCAGTAAAATGTTCTGGTTATCTACAAGTATGCAGATGCTGCCCAAATCAATGTGTGATGTACCCATCAGACCAGCTACTTCTTTCAAACTGTTCTTTGTTACCATTTAAGACAGCTTGATCATATGAATTCTTGCTGTCAAGGCTGAGCAATGTCAGGGCATACAAAGTCCTGGTTTTTTTTCTTTGCCAACTTGAGATTTTGAGACTATTGGCAAGCTTTTCCTAGGAGAAGCAAAGTCTTAACGAGCAGATCCTTAAAATTAGGCAAAGGCTGTTTCAGTAGGAAATTTGGAGGGGGGGGGGAATCGTTGAAGCCAATGTTCTGGGGTGCAATGTTCAGAAGGCTGGTTTAATATATGACTAAGTGTCAAGAGTCAGATTTCTGAGAGTTACTTTTCAGATAAACAACTTTACAGCACTACACTTAATCTTGCGTCCTAAAGACATATCATTTATCACCAAACTGCTAGTAACTTTAATTCCTACCGATGTGGTCTGGGAGTCGGTTGGAAATCAAGGCTAGAAGTTTTAAGAGATTTCCCTCCTATCTTAGAGAGAGGGAGAGTCCCAAATACACACAACTTCACAAAGTATCCAGACTAACAAGAACAACTAACCCTTTTGAGTCCCGCTTTCTAGAAATACACTCGCAGGCCCGTGCCCGAAGAGGGGAGAAATCATATTGATAGGGAACGGCGTAAAACACACACCCTGTTATTAGATCCAACCCCAAAATACGTCTCCGACGCGAAAGAGTTAATGTCAGACTATCACGCCGACGCTAAAGGCTCTTGACTTTTTTTCTCTCTCCTCCCTTAAACGCGTTTCTAGTACGGATTTTTATTTTTATTTTTTCCTGTCTAGAAAATTGGAAGCGGTTCAGTATGAAACTGATCTGGGGCGAAAGGTGGCGCTGTCGAGGTTTAAACGGAACGCGAGCAACCTGGATTTTGTTTTAAACTCGGTTCTTTTATTTTCGCTATTAATTAATTTATTTTTTTTTAAAGCAGCCCTCGCCGCCGAGAAGCGAGAAAGAGCGCGCGCCACGGTTTCCAGAACCATTAATCGAACCGGCCGTCCGCTTTCTGCAAACAAGACCACACGGTTGGCATTAAAACAGAAGTTTGCAAAAAGTTCTTCAAGGCTTCCTTCCTCCTCGGTTTTAATTCTCTCTTCCCTTCTTCCCTCCCCTCCCCACCAAGAAAAAGCCACCCCAAACTTAGGTTTAAAATCTAGGAACCGTCTTTAAAAGGAGCGCAGGGAAAAAGTAAAACGATTGCGCTGGGAAGGAGAGCTAGCCATTAGCCACTTGCCTTCACTTTCCGACCTCTGGCGAAGCCATCGATCTTGGAGGAGGGCAGAGGAGATCAGGGCTAAAAAAAAAAAAACCCTAACTTTGACCCGGAGGCGCCGCGTCCTGGATTCGGAAAACCCAGAGGGCGCCTCCGAGGCGTGCAAAGAGTGCAAAAAGAAGGGTTCGTAGCTGCGCTCGGGAAAAGACTCCGAATTCACTCCCTTTAGACCCAAAAGGCTTAGGTGCGTTTGAAGCACCCTTCCCTTCCTTCCCCGCCACCCCCCCGTCCCTCTAGAAAAAGAAAGCTGAACTATATGCAGATCTATCTTTGGGGTATCTAGAGAGCCGGCTGGGACTCCCCTCTTCTGGATCCCCGGAGCAAGAAGACTCTCGAGATGGGACATGTTAAAACCGAGTCTTGGGGGGGGGATCTGCGCGCATTCGCTCGTCCACGCTGTCTGACTTTCTCACACCCGGAGACTCACACTCTTAGAAGGAAAGGGCAAGGGAGAGCCGGGATTTTTTTAAAAAAACCAACTAACCCCCCCCTCGAATATATGTACTCCACATTTGCAAACGTAGTAGAGTACACAAATTCACGCCAGCCTTCCAAAACCACAAAACCCCGAAACGCACGCAGGAAAGCGAGAAGACGGTGCGTAAAAGCACCCTTACCTATTCTTTATCGCATTTTCTTTTGGAGAGTTGAGCGTCTTAGCAAAGAGTATTTTGCGGATTTTAATGGCTTTCGGACAGTCTCTCTCTCTCTCTCTCTCTCTCTCTCTCTCTCTCTCCTTTTTTCTTCCCCCTTTCCCCCCATCTCTTTCCCCCCTCCCTCCCCAATGAGCCCGAGGCGGCGCTTTCGGTTAAGAAAGAGTTAAAAAGTTTTGGTCCCAGCTGACAGTCAGCTGATTGGTTCCTGATTGACAGCTTTGAAAAGTTTCCTTGTTTCTATACTATTATGCTAATGAGGAGCCGGATCCGCGGCCGCGGATTGGAGTTGGGTCCCGATAGGAGTGTGACGTCAGGCGCGCTATAAAAAAAAAAGCAAGGCTTTTAAACTGTCCTCCCGGTTCATCTCTTTAAAATATTTTTTCATCTTGTCGCTGGAGCTCGGGAGCCGAGGGGTTATTATTATTTTTTTTTCCCCTCTTATCTTTCTTTCTCCCCTTTCCAGAACTTGGCGAGGAGGCTCCCCGCGCCCGACCCTCTCGCTTTCCAAACCTCTCCTCCTTTTAAACAACAAAAAAAAAAAATACGATCTAGCGACTTACCTGCTCTTGTTTTATTTTATTTTTATTTTATTTTTGAAATCGTCAGCCGCGTTCTTTTTTTTTTTCCCTCCTTTCCTTGGTGCTGAAACTCACTCTTGTCTCTTTCTCTTCGTTTGGACTCCGGCCACGGAAAAGGGACAGAAAAGAGGGGAAGAAACAGCGCGAAGTGTTAAAAAAAAAAAAAAAAAGACAGACAGACAGACAGCAAGAAAGCCAAACCATCCTTTTGCAAACCAAGGAGGAACTGCTAAGTAACCTTTCCCTATAAAACTGCAGTTGGGAAGCTGCAGAGAGAGAGAGAAGAGAGAGAGAGAGCCACGAGCGTGCAGAGGAGAAAAGGGGAGGGAAGAGAGAGAGAGAGAGAGAGAGAGAGAGAGAGAGAGAGAGAGAGAGGGGAGGGAAGGAGGGGAGGGCAGAGAGAAAGAAAAACGAAAGAAACCGAGGCGGCCGGATGCAAAAGGCGAGCAAATAGCGCGAGCGAGAGGCGGCAGCCAGGCACGGCCGCTCGCGGGGTTGCCGGCTGCAGCCCAGCGGCTCTTTGTCAAGGGAGCCTCGGAGCTGCTGCTGCTGTTCCTGCTGCTGCTGCTGCTGCTGCTGCCGGCGGCTGATCCCGGCTCGCCCCGGCGCCGGCAGAGCGTGCGAGCAAGCGGAGGAGGCGGCGAAGGAGGAGGAGGAGGCGGCAAGGGAGCGGCGCGCAGCCCCGGACGGCAGCTTCTTTTCGCTGCGGCTTCCGCGAGGCGACCAGCAAACTGGCTCATCCGCTGGCAAGCCAGAGCAGCCCCCTGGCTCCGGGAGCGCACCCTTTCTGGAGGACGGGCGGCGGCGGTGGCGGCGGAGGTGGCGGTGGCGGCGGCGGCAAAAGGATGGCCTCGGACCTGGCCCTGCACAGCGCCGACCTGCCCACTAGTCCCCTGGCCATGGAATATGTTAATGACTTCGATCTGATGAAGTTCGAGGTGAAAAAGGAGCCGGTGGAGACGGACCGCATCATCAGCCAGTGCGGCCGCTTGATCGCCGGGGGCTCGCTCTCCTCCACCCCCATGAGCACGCCGTGCAGCTCGGTGCCCCCCTCGCCCAGCTTCTCGGCCCCCAGCCCGGGCTCCGGCGGCAGCGACCAAAAGACCCACTTGGAAGACTACTACTGGATGACCGGCTACCCGCAGCAGCTCAACCCGGAGGCCCTGGGCTTCAGCCCGGAAGACGCCGTGGAAGCGCTGATCAACAACAGCCACCACCAGCTCCAGAGCGCGGCGGCGGCGGCGGCGGCCGGCTTCGAAGGCTATGCCAGAGGGCAGCAGCTGGCCGTGGGCGGCGGAGGAGGCGGCGGGGGCGGCGGAGGAGGCGGCGGCGGCGGGTCGGGGGGCTCCATGCCCCCGGAGGAGATCGGCTCGGCGGCCGCCGTGGTGTCGGCGGTGATCGCGGCCGCGGCGGCACAGCAGCAGCAGCAGCAGCAGAACGGCGGCGGGGGCGGCGGCGGCGCGCCCCACTACCACCACCACCACCACCACCCGGCCGGCGGCCACCACCACCACCACCATCATCCGCAGCCGCAGCCGCCGGGCAGCGTGCAGTCTTCGGCCAGCAGCACCAGCAGCAGCAGCAGCGGCGGCGGCGGCAGCGGCGGGCTGGGCGGCGGGGGTCTCCACCACCACCAGCCGCCGCCGCACCACGGGGGCTTGCACTTCGACGACCGCTTCTCGGACGAGCAGCTGGTGACCATGTCGGTGAGGGAACTCAACCGGCAGCTGCGGGGCGTCAGCAAGGAAGAGGTGATCCGGCTGAAACAGAAACGACGGACCCTGAAAAACCGAGGCTACGCGCAGTCCTGCCGCTTCAAGCGGGTCCAGCAGCGGCACGTCTTGGAATCGGAGAAGAACCAGTTGCTCCAACAAGTGGAACATCTGAAGCAGGAGATCTCCAGGCTGGTCCGGGAGAGGGACGCCTACAAGGAAAAATACGAGAAATTGGTCAGCAGCGGGTTCCGGGAAAACGGATCCAGCAGCGACAATCCCTCTTCTCCAGAGTTTTTCATGTGAGTTGTGGTCTTCTCTCCCACCTACCCACCCACCAACCTACCCATCCCGCCGTTCGGCCCCGACCCGCCAACCCCCTTCGCCCTGACAGCCCCTGGCCGCTCTTCAGAGCACACGGCAGGCACGCGCGCACACACACACACACACACACACACCCAGGGCGAGCGAGCACGTGCGCAAAAGTTCCTAAGGCTGGAGGATGGGAGGGGGGGAGTAAGGTCAGTCTGTTGGTCCCCAGGTTAATTATTGTTAATGTGGGGCCATCCAAGTAATACTTGCTATGTACACGCCACCGTTATGGTCGTATTCTGTTTAAAAGAATTAATGCAACTTTTGGTGGTACTTTTTAAGCTGGACTGACTCAGAGGGTCAACCTTACAAGATCCTGACCTTTCTCTCCCTCTCCAGCCGTTAGTTAGCTTGTGTGTGTGTGTGTGTGTGTGTGTGTGTGTTGTGCCTGCAATCCAACTTCCATCAACTCATCTGAAGTTTACTCAAACTTCATTTCCTTTACATTTTGCTCTATCCAAAATACAGAACAACAGTTTTGCCACCCTGAATTCTTCCTGTAGGGTATGAACTTTAGATGTAGATAGATACCTACTGATATGCCTGTGTTCATATACCTATGAATGCAGGCATGTGCCGAGGACATTTGACTGAAATATTTAAAGAAAGTTTTTAGACTTCAGATTGCCGAATTTTCATCTGTTGTTGAACTAAGCCTAGAGAATATCAACCTGCCCCAATGGAGCCTTGATCAACTTCTCACACGTGTTCATGATGTGATCCTTTGGCCTTACGCTGCCAAACAGTGAACTGAGTCTGCTTTTAGTAACCCATCCTCATCTCATGCATTATTACGCTTACTACTTTGTCTTGCATCAATTAACTGTATAAATATTTCAAAAGACTATGGGGAGAAAAAAAAAAGACATTATATTGATAAATGCCCTGCATGCTGGACATGTACGGATTTTTTTTTTTTCCTTTTGCTAGGATATGGACTTTGGAGATATATATATAATGGCATGTCATTCATTCTTTAAGTTGTATTTCTTCACCACTTTTTTGAACTGAAAGCAAAAAAGTGCAACTTTTTGAGTCTTCCTTACCCATTCAAGTTTGCATCTGTTCTGGAAACTGCTTTGAGTGGCCCCCCCTCTCAAACTTCAGACTTCTTTTTAAATGAATTGAGAAACATCTCTCCTCGCTCTCTCATGTGTAAAACAAAAACAGCAGAGTGGATTGTGATTACAGTATTACAGGAAAACAAGAACTTTGGAAAGAAGTTTTAAAACTTATGCTAAAAAAAAATTTGCTGCAATTTGTTGGATTTTACATGATATTGTTGCTTAAAGCAGTCTAAAATTTATTTTGGAATGATCTACCTTCTTCCTTCCCCCCCCCTTTTTTTTTTTTGTTCCTTTTTGCATTTGGTCATTGTCAAATGTGCAATGCTATAGGATCCTGGTATATAATTTAATTCAAGCTTTTATTGTCTGTTAGTTCAGTTCAAATGTACGCAACAGATAAAGGAATGTTATAGATAATTTGAAAAAAGTTAGGTCTGTTTAGAAGTAGGTCTCTCTTTTTTTAAATGGTGCACTAAATTGTTCACTGTTGTGATGTTAAAAGGAGTAGAATATAAAGTGGGACAATTTTTTTTTAAAAAAGTAGTTTATGCAGCATGTGATTGCAACTTAACTTTAAGTTGGGTATGTGTAGATCTTGCTATGCCACCAACTGTATTTGGAAACCAAAGTATTAAAAGGGGAGTATCCCTGTTTATATTAATAGGGTTATTTTGTGTTCAAAATGTAACATTGGAGGGTTTTTTTGGGGGGGGATTTAAATATTAGGGACTGAATTGCACTAAGATATAACCTGAAGCAAAATATAAACCATTGCAAACTTGTCTAGGATGCTAATACCATTTACAAAGATGGCATTACTGCTCAGTTTTTTAAATAATGCAGATTTTTTTACAGTTGTATTGTGGTGCAGAACTGGATTTTCTGTAACTTCACAAATTCACAAAGTTTTAAAGGCATTAATCAGCAAATTTTATTGTCAGGGACTGATACTCCTGTCTTTTAAAAAAAATATGGAAAGTAAATACCACAATAAATATAAAAAAATCTTGTCAGTTATTTTTCCCCTTGACATATTTTGCTGTGCAAAATTGTTTTATATCTTAAGTTACCAACTAATCATGTGTGATGTTCCTTATGTGTTTTCCTTTCATTTTTCAATTCTATGGTTATATCAAAAAAGGAGGAATATTCTACTATAATAAACTGCATTTTTGATTCTGTACTGAGTTTCATTAGTTTATAGCTTTGAAGTATCTATTTAATCATAGTATCTTGGGGGACAGATGTTTAGATAAGTTAATCTGAGCAGATAATTTAAATATGTCTGTGTGAGCTGAGAATTGACAAGGTAAAATATAACCGCTTTCTTAAAAAAAAAACCCATTTCATTTTCTCCCAGGCAGATGAAAAGGAAAGACTCTTTAATTTGTCAGTGTTAACTCTTCCAAGTTTTATAATTATTTTAAAGGGGCCCTGTGAGTTTCTTGCTAATTATTATTTCAATAATAATAATAATAATAATAATAATAATAATAATAATAATAATAATAATAATAATAATAATAATAATAATAATAATAAAAAAGTAGTTCATTCAAACACAACAAGCCCCCTCACTTCCCCAAATAGTTCAGCTGCTTTTTGAAGGAATGGAAGTAAAGAATTTTGCAGCCGGGACATTATGTCAACCATGCAGACATATTGTAAGAATTACTAGTCTAACTGATTTGTTTTAGACTGAAGCTACAAGGACAGATGATTAAAGCTGTAACTATTCAAAGAATCGTGAAACAAATTCTATGAAATTCAAATTTGTGAAGAGAGAATCATAATTTCCCTTGCATAATTACACACGCACATATGTACACATCCGGTAAACCTCCTTTGAAACAGGTTGCTATTCTCTCCTCTCCCCTGAAATCCCTAACTTGCAAGCAAGGTAAGGCCTATGAGGACTGGCTGTTTAAAAGTCAAAAATTCCATCAGGCTAGCATAGGCTGACCTTTCTTAATTTTAAGCTTTAGCTGTTTCAGTTCCTTTTTTTTTTTTTTTTTTTTACAAAAAGAAAGTATCAATCTCATTTATGGATGGGACATTCTGCTAGCCAGATTTTGTCCCACTTATTTTTTTTCTCAGAGGAAAGGAGACTTTAAAAAAAAAAGGAAAGCAGTGCATGTGTATATATATAATATTTTTAAAAAAAAACAACCTTATTTTCAAGGAGAAAATGAACAGATTGGGACTCTTTGGCTTTTCTTTGTTTCTGTAATTTTGTTTTAATCTACGAAACGATTAAGGCGGCAACATTCCTGTAACTTGACTACAATACCATTTTATACAAGGAGAGAAATAAATTCCCTTTCTAGGTCCCCAAAGAAAACAAGTCCAGGAGTAGAAGAGAAAGAGGAGAGAGAGAGAGAGAGAAAAAACACACAAGTGTCTTCTTAGGAGTGTAGTTTTAAGTCTGTAGCATCTTACTAGTGAAAAGCAGGCAGGTCGAAAAAAAAGCAAAACCAAACCCCAGACCTTGTTTTAAATGTACAGCTCAACTTCTAGAGGTTCCAAGATGCTGCTCTTAAGGCGGTCAAAGGCGCAAGGTCAAAGGTCACTAGGCTCTGAAACAAAGCAATGCCCCCAAGTCTGCTACAAAGGTGGGCACAAATGCATCTCATTTCTCCTTGTCTTGGCTTCGACTTTTAGCTCTGCCTGCACAGGAAACCAGGCTGCAGTCAGCCCAGCTGAAAGAAAACCAGCAGCTAGTCCTCTTTGAGCTCTAACCCAATGTTTTATGAGATTGGGAAGCAAGAAAAGGGGTCGTAAGAGGTGCAGAGGACCATGCCTTTGACAGCCTGGGCCACATTCTTCCTGCTTGGCGATAGACACGTCCTTTAGAACTTGACCTTCCAATAATGCAGGCGTAGTTTCCTTTTCGGCACTCTCCAGACAGGTTAATATGTAATCAATGGGTAAACTGCCTGCCATTGGCCTACCAGAAAAATGACTGTCTCCTATAAAGATAGTAAGGCTTTCTCCCCTCCTTGCATCTCCCTTCCTCTTTCCCTGCTTCCTAAGTTTACACTTTTCCAGAAATTGCACTCTTTTTGCTTAGCGGGTGCTGCTTGCTCTGGGTTTTTGCTCTTTCTTTCTCTCTCTTTCCCTCCCCATTTCCACCCACCCACCCTCCCGCCCAGGATGAGCAAGCAGAGAAATGAACTTCTGCTCTGCATTACGCCCGGCCTTTGCTGAGATTCGCTTTGCATAAAATCATGGTGAATATCCAAAGGTTTCTCCTCTCCCCTTCCAGAAACAGGTGCTTAGTATAATGGTGCAAAGAAAGAGCCAGGAGTGTCTCTCTGCAGGAGAAAACCGAGTCCAGCTTTTTGTTTCGAAGCGGCTTCTGAATATCAAGCTTGCCTCAAAAAAAGAAATCGAGCAAGCCAACGGAAAGCGTGCTTGTCATTTGGTCTTGAATGGCAACCTTGTGCCCAGGGCAAAGTTTTCTTTTTCTTTTTAATTATAATTTTTTATTTTTTTATTTTTCCAAACTCTCCCCCATACATACACCGTGATATTTATCAGATGTTAACATGCCTTCTTTTTACATTCTTATATGTAAGATACTTTTAATAACATGAAATAAATACATACACGTGACTTTTGATGTTGCTCGTCCATTTCCCCTTTCACTGTATCCACACTCTTTCTTCTCTCCCTTCTTTCTCCCTTTCTTCTCTTTCTTCCCTACTTCCCTCTTCTTCCTCTCCTCTTCTCTTTCCTTCACCATTCTCCCCCCCTTTCTCCCCACTTCTCCTCTTCTCCTCCAACCTTCCTACTTCCTTCCCCCCCTCCTTTACTCTTTTCTCCCTCCTCTCCTTTCTTCCCTCTCATCCCTCTTCAGATACAATT